AATAACCAAAATGGTAAGATTTTGTTTTTTCTGTTTTATTGAAAGAGCAAACATGTTAGTTCTCAACATTCTCTAGAAGCTAACATGAGTTGTGGTTTGTTTACAGTAATAAAATATTGACAAAGAATCGAACGATTCAGTCGTCTTTTGTTTTTTCTGTTATTTATGTTCTGTTATTATGGTGTTGATGACTCATTGTAATCTAAACAAACCAAATTTTTTCTTTATCTTTTTTAAGAAATGTTGGTAATATTTTTTGTTCGTATATGTAAATTTCGAAAAGTGTCTTTTTTATATTTTTAAAACTTGACAATTCATAGCAATATGTCCATCTCATCATAGATGAAGGAATCCTTTTCATGTAATCAAATATGAAAACTAAAACATTGGCGTCAGTTGTTTTCTTTTGTAAGCAAAACACATCTGTTTTTGAAAGCAATAAAACTGCTTAGTTTCAATGACGATTTTCTCTGATGATGCTTTTTTTTTTGTAACTCTTCTATACCGTTGATGAATTCTATCATTGCATCATATACATCGTCTAGTTGATTCATTTCATGATCTACTCATATTTTCATTTAATTTAGTAACAACTATACAAAATGCTGTTATTCTTCGACTTTATTATAAATATTTTTTACATTAACATATAAATACAATCGAACAATATTTGTGCATCATTAGTCTTTCATGTTGCTATATAACGGAACTATGTAAACATCAATAGTATGATTAAAAAAAAAAGAGAGTAACATATGAATTATCTAATTATTGTAAATAAAAATGGTCTCTGATTTCTATCAAATTCTAGCTCGAAAAAAAACACAAAAGAAGTTTGATGTTAGCAGAAACATTTCTTACGAAGTAAACTAAACGATAGGATTTTATTGTTTTGCTGTGCAAGTTCACACTTTGAATGACACAATGAAATATACAGAAAAAAAAGAAAACATCTACTATGCATGACAACGAAATTTAATGACGAACTATTGCTAATTTGGACAATTACATTCAATTAAACAAGTGAAAGACTTGATTGTTCATCAAATAGTTTTACGCTCTATTGTTCGTATTAATTCAAGTTGTTCGTAGCGATTTTTCATTGTAAAAGCAGCTGATTTCGGTTGACGTTGTCGAGTGAAGAGACCTTTACGATTTAGGCCACCTACACGAGTAATACTTTGTTCAGTCGCGAAATCAAACATATTCCAAACTAATTCACCAACAAAATAACCTGTATCAGGATGAATTATAGAAGAAACATTATCAAAAGATCCATGATAAGCAGACAGAAAATCATTTTGATATTCTTCAGTAAACATAAATGATGGATCATTATGAAGACCAGGTACTGTATCTGCTCCATATTCGCTCATCAATATTGGTTTATTTAGAAATCTATGTCGCCAATTAGCAAGCTCTTGAGATACTAACGATGGTATTTGATCGAGACGACCCGATTGACTATACCAACCAAAATAACGATTGACACAAATCATGTCAAAAAATTGAATACCTTGATCACCATTATAACTTGCTGAAATAACATAAGTAATAGGACGACCTGATGCTATCGGTCTTGTAAAATTAGCTAATGCACTAAAATATGCTTTTGCCTCAGGTGCATCAGATTTAGGTTCATTTGCTAAAGACCACATAAGAACTGATGGATGATTTCTATCACGATTAATCATTTCTGTAACTACTTGTTTATGATGATCTAGTGTAGCTTGTGAAACAAATTGATTTGTACTTAATCCAACAGCTGGTGTTTCACCAATAATTGCTATACCAAATCTATCAGCCATTTGATAAAATTCATCGGCATATGGATAATGTGATGTTCGAAATGCATTACCATGTAACCAACCATATAAATTAAAATGTTTAGCAAGAATTACTCGATCGAATCCTTTTCCTCGAATATCACTATCTTCATGTGCATTAGCTCCATGAAAATAGAAAGGACGTTCATTGACCAAAAATTTTGAATCTGTTAATCTAATAGTACGTATTCCTATATGTGGTATACGATAAATATCGATGACATTTATTGATGATGATATTTCATCATTATATAATGTCACTTGTAAAGTATACAAATAACTTTCTTCAGTACAAGGATGTGTATGATTCATTCCACAAGGTTCCCATAGATTTGGTTTATTAACAACTAGACGTGATTGAGAATCAGTATTATTAGCAACAACGGTACCATCAGTATCGATTAGTTCAATGAGTACGCGAAGAGTATTAGCTCGATTAGTACCACCAATTGTGATAGAATAAGTAAGAATAGCGGATGTAGCGATATATTGATCATCAAAATTAATACTTTGTGTATCAATAGCAATATCTTGGATATAAACATTTGAAGTAGAATAAAGTATAACTGAACGATCAATGCCAGCATAATTAAAAAAATCAAATGGAGTTTCAAGATAACGATAAGTTGGATTATCAATATGTAAATAACCTGGTGGTAATGTTGTAGATGTAAGAGTATTGTTAACAGCTACAACAACTCGTACTTTTGAATAACTTTCATTACTTGATATCAATCGAGTAATATCAGCTTCAAATGGTAGATGTCCACCAGAATGATTCATTGCTGATTGTCCATTGACCCAAACACGAGTTTCATAATGAGCAGCTTGAAATCGAAGTACCCAACGAGGTGTTGTATTATGAATAAAGAAATCACGTGCATACCATACCCATCCAATATGTCGATGAATAGTAATATTTTGTGTGATATCATTGTACGAAGCTGGCACAGGCATAAGAATAGTTGGTGGAGGTAAATTTGATTTAGCATACCATTGCTCAGTTTCTCCTACTCCGTCTTCATCAAGTCGAAATTGCCATAGACCATCTAATGATCTAATTTGTCTTGTTTCACTTTCTGCCGGATATAAAAGTCCATTGACAGCACAACACCACAATATGAATAATAGAAAACAAATCCTCATGATCTTACTTAAAAAAGAAAAAACCACTGGTAAAATGACTGATAAGTGTGTGATACCCTCTGTTTTATTTGAAGTAAGATATCAAATCTTAGAACAACTAAAAAAATAAAATCAACAAGAACGTGACTGACTTTAACATGTTCGTGTTTGATGCAAGGCTCTCGATTGTTTTTGAGAGTGGCGGGGGTTAAAGGTTTTTTTTTCTTTTGCCAGACACTTCACAAAAACTTGGCAGATAGTCATTTATTTTCTTGGGAACTTCCCAATTTTTCATTAATAGTGATGACCAGTGGCGGGGGGTAGCGCGACGAAGATACCTCTACCTCCCTCCAGGGCTAAGTAAAATCTTCGGAAAAATTGTCTCAAAACAAAAATTTTTCACCGCTAATATTATCACGTGACCAGTCGACTGCAGCCGTAAAATTAAATTTCGCAGACTATATTACACATTTTTGCCAGACAGTATTAAAAATTTTCGCAGACACGCTTAAAAAATGCCGGGGGCTAGCCCCCGCCACATCGTGGGGCCTGGTTTGATGCTCTTTTATCTTTTATTCAACGATATTCATTGCATGTAAATTACTATGCAGATGAAATGTAACAAGAATGAGGTAAAAATTGCTAGTATTAATAGAGAAAATATGACGGTTGTATTTTTTTACTTGTCAGATTCAATGAATCTGAATTAATTGGCCTTTGCATATTTGAAAAATTCGAGTCCACATATAACGGGTGGACCATAATAAATGTCCCAATTTTGCATTTTATTTTTCCACAACTTAATACGTTGTATTAAAAAACAAAATATACCACAGGATGCAGCGTAGAAAGCTCTACAATTTATACAAGGCAGCTTTTCCTACAGTTACACTTTTTGCTTTCAAAACCGATAAAATATAGAGCGATCAAATTGTGACTGTGCGAAAATGATTTTTTTTTTTTGGTTAAAGATGAATTCGTTTTTTCTCGTTTCATCTTTTTATTACCTGATATCTTCTATTTAAAAAGAAAACAAAACATACCATTAGATGCAACAGGAGAAGCTCTACAATTTATACAAGACAGCTATTCTTATAGTTGTACTTTTTGTTTTCAAAGCTATCAAAAATTCTGAGCGATTAGATTTTGGTGCTGCGAAAAAGTCATTTTTCAATACACGACCAATTTGTTTTTTTCTTACTTATCATCTGATGCGTTTTATTAAAAAGAAACAAAATACATCACAAGATGCAACTTGACAAGCTCTACAATTTATAGAAGACCGCTTTTTTTATAGGTGCACTTTTTGTTTTCAAAATCAGCTAAGCAATCAAATTTTGACCACGCGAAAACAGAATTTTTTTTCTACGAGGTAGATTGTTTTTTTCTTATTTCATCTTTTTATCACCTGATATCTCTTATTAAAAAAAACAGCAAAATATATCACTAGATGCAGCGAGAAAAGCTCTACATTTTGCACGCGACAGCTTATTATAATCGTTTTGTATAAAAGCAAAATTCTCTACGATCAATTTTCGCACAGTCGAAATTTAACCGCTCCAAATTTTGATCACTTGTAAAGTAAAAAGTGTAACTATAAAAAAAAGCGATCTTGTGTAAATTGTAGAGCTTTTCACGCTGCATGTTATGGTATATTTTGTTTTTTTAATACAACGTATTAAGTTGTGGAAAAATGAAATGCAAAAGTGGGACATTTATTATGGCCCACCCGTTATATACATCATAGATTGGAATCTTACCTTTTTATTTTTAGTATTCATTATTTGTTAACATTAGCAGGAGAATTTCAATACAGTTTCAATTTCATTTGTTGACTAAGTTTTATATTTTCAGCATTTATATCACTAATGAATATTGCTTTCTTCGCACGTATTTTCATTTATTTAGTAAGAATTACATATTTGATAGTAACTATAATGAAAGATCATCTATATACATGTAAGATTCGGATTAATCCGCTGTCTATTACTTTCTTTCCAATTATCAAAAAGAATTCTCGAAAAAAAATCCGATCACACATCGAAAATATTAAACACTTTTTACATTAATCCAATTTAATAAATCAAGATCACCTTGATTTACTTTTACTTCAGCATGATCACATCCAAAAGCACGACGAGATCTATCAACAGCTTCTTTATATTGATGAAGATCTTCGAATGTCCTTGCAATATTATGAAGTATAATAGCTAATAAAGAATAATTGGATGTATGTAATTTTTGAAAAATTTCAAACTATTTAATATGAATATGAAATGATTTGATTTGATCAACTTGAATCTCAAATGCACGTTGAAATTGTTCTAATGCACTTTACAACTTACCTTGTTTGTTGTTTGTGAACAATTTCAATACTTGAATAAGTTGGTAAAAGTAAAGGATCACATCAGATGACGTATCCAAGTTGATGATGAAGAAAAACATTTTCTTCTAAAACCAAGCAACGTTACTCTTACAGACATACAAAAAATGAATTCTTTTTATTTTGCTAAATCTTCCATATTTTTAATTGAACGAAGGAAAATAAAATGATTCTTATATAGACTAGTAAAGAAAAGTTTACAAAGTTCAGAATCTCTTTATGTTAAAGATATGAAAACTGTAAGTTTATTAGAAATAATCGATTTATTTATTTTTTTAAAATCAGATTCATATCTGAAAAAGTTTGAGTTAATTAAGAGTCATTTATTCGAATATACGATTGCCAATCAAGATATAATTGATTTGGAATAAATGATGATGATACAGATTCTGTTATAATTCGACATTCTTGACGAAAACTTTCATATGATATAGCATAACATAATGGTGATGAATATTGAAGACAAATTGATATACACTCAAGTTCACTTATCATTCGAAAATAGGTTTCATAATTAAATGAATCTATTCGTCCTGTTACTGGCATAAATGTTCCAGATTGGCATTGAATTAATAATGGATATATGAATGAAAATAGAAATATTATGGAAGTAAAATAAGTCATACTGCACGTCTTATTCTCATAGAAGAAATGTAGAAGAATAATATTTTTTTCTTTGCACTATAGATTTTCTTTTTCAATGTTGCACATTATAAAATGATAATTATTACTGATGTATTCGGGTGAAAAAGAAAAAAAAATAACGAGAAATGTTTCCTTAAATTTAAGGAAAATTAAAACCTTTTACCAATCATAGAAAAACATTTTTATAATATTGAATGGTAACTCATGACATAGAAGTGCTACTAAAATTCATAGAAAAATTCTTCAGATATTTTTTCTATGATAGCATTTAATACAAATCTAATCTTATTACCATATTTTCTATTTTAATCCTAAAATGAATATCACTAAAAATTTTCAAAGATCACAATAAGAAACTGATTTATGAAACCAAACAATTCTTCTTTATTGCTCTATTATTCAAGAAAAACCTAAGATTATATGCATTCACTACTTTGATATAAGAATACATTTCATAATTCAATTTCTTCATTGTTATTATCAGTAGTACAGATTTTGATTGTATATTTAATTGAAACACATACAAATAATTGAATATGTCAGAAATTATATCTCAGTAATTTCGCATTAGATAGCTTCGATACTTTTCTTACTGAAGAGTTAAATAAACATTTTTTTCGCTAAATTGCAGGCTATATCATTCAATTAGAAAATAATAATTTGTGTAAAGGGTGTGGATGTGGGTTGTGGATGAAAAGAAGACTAATACCCACACTCACACCCACCCTTATTTGAATTAATAATCTGAGAAGATCGTTTTAGAAGAATAAAAAGTATATTTACTGCTAGAATTTGCATATTTTTCGCTTATATATTAAAAAAGGCGATCTTTTTATCTTTCTCGATTTTCCATTTTGTCACATTAAAAACAGAAGAGCTCGAATCTAGTGTATGTTGTAGAGCAAGCGATTCTCTACAAAATCCTATGTATGGCTATGTTTCCAAATTCCATTTTTCGTAACATTTTTTTTTGCATAAAATATGTGCTAACATTTAGCATCATGAAAGGATAATATTCTCAAAATATTTTCCAAAAAAAGTGGTCAAAATGTAGCCAAGATCAGAAGCTATCAGAATATTTATAAAACTTAGTACTTTATGTATTTAATTTGAAAGATTATTGTGTGAGACTACTTTCAACAAAAACTGAATTTTTGCGGTTATATCTAAAAATCCTAAAAAATATCATCACATTATATACCTACTTATTGATGAAATTAAAAAAACTGATCTTGAGGATTTTAATAGTTCACTAAGATCTACAAACTTTGAAAGTTTCATGCAATTTAGAAATAGTCGATGGAAATATCCAAGTACTACATATTATTTACCAGACCACAGTGACACTGCCGGGATTTTTCGGTATGCTGGATCTCAGCGTCAGAGCATAGGACCTAGATGAAATTTATCGAGGATGATATTGGATTCCAATAATGAGTCGTTATGAAAAAATTTTTGCGACATTTGACAAAAAATTCAAAACGTTATAACTTCTGAACGGATGCATGTTTTTTGATGAAATTTCAATCTACATCGATGAAACTTGATGTAGATTACAAAAAAGCTTTAAAAAACGGAATATTACAAAAACCAAAAAGAAATTTTTGGAGGATAAAAAAAAAAAATTATCTTTCGCAAACTCCAATCTCAAAAATTTTTTCATAAAGACTTATTATTGGAGTCCAATATATCATCCTCGATAAGTTTCATCTAGGTCCTATGCTCTGAAGCTGAGATCCAGCTTCAAGAAAAATCCTGGTTTGCGTCACTACCAGACCGTAACAAAACATTCTAAATATTTATTTGTAATCTAATTCAAAGAATTTATATATACTTCAATGTGTACTGCAGATGTCACAAACTATCATACAATGACTAATTTTTATGAGTCGAAAAGACATGAATCAATTCAATTAACTGATTATTCATTACCTATGTACAGAAATGAAAAATAATTTTTTTGTTAATAATCAATAAAATATATAAATCAATGACATCTATAATCAATTATATGTAAGCTGACATTTTTCTGTGGTATAATAATACTCAATATTTGTTTATTTATTTGTTCTTTTCTTTTTGCTTTACCATGGATTGACAGAGATCACATTTTGTTCTTTAACATTTTATACTAATTAAACTATAAAATGGTTCAACATTGTGTCAATGCTGCTAGTACAGATTTTGTTACTTATAATACTAAAAAGCAACGTGATGCTGCTGATGTTGTTGGCAGGTAAAATATTTCATTAATTACTCTTCCTTTTTTTTTTACTCAAATTTTCTCATTATCTAAATATGTATTTCTTTTTTATTTTTCTAGTAAATCTTTCTCAATAAGTAATAATAACAATAATACACTTCATCATCATATACGTACATTAGGTTCAATGCAATCGGGTTCTGTTGATTTTGTATCAAATGTATTACCTTTAACAACACATTCATATTCACCAATATTAACTGAACCCATATCATCTGATACAACATCATATTATAAAACAAATACAACAATATCATCATCATCCTCATCCGGTTATGAATCTGTTCTATCTAGTACAACAAAATCACGTCGATCATTTTTTTCACGTTTAAAACGTTTAATTAATTTTTCATCAACAAAAAAATCTTCAGAATATCAAATTTCAACTTCAAATAATTCAATTGAACAAAATTTAAACAATTCAACATCACCAATTATATTTAAAAATCTAAATTCATCATCAGCAATGATTAATAATAATAATAATAATGCAATAAATTCAAATGAAAATCGAAGAAATTCTTTAACACGTTTAGATATTCGAAGAAAATCAAATCGACGTACATTAGCATCTGCAACGCAACATGTTCCATTTTTATATGGACTTAAAAATTGTGGCAATACATGGTAAAAAAAAATCTTTTCTTTTGTTTTCTATATTAAGATAAAATTAAAAAGAAGAATATCTAAAATATATTTTTCATTTGACCTTATTTTGTGGTCAAATAGCATTTTTTTTTGATAAACATAATTATAAGCTATTCAATTAGACATCAATATTTTAAACTAATCATATTCTTTTATTTTTCTTTGAAAGAAAAAAAAATATTATATAGTTATTTCTTGTTATAATTATATAGTACAAATACAAAAATAAGAGAATATTAATAGAATAATTTTTGCAACATATTATTAACTTTGAGTATAATGAACTATTGTGAAAAGTATATATATATATAGAATACCGCATACATATTCTGATTTCTTATTCAAAACTTTGAATTGAAGATAAAGATTCATAGTCAAGATTAGTCGTTTTTTTTTGCTTCTAGATGGCACTCATATATTTCTATTTTATTCAAAGAAATTCAATAGATTGATATCGTGTCGGTAGAATAATTTTGAATAAAATTTTTTAGATATTTATTGTTCTGCTAAATTTCAATATTTTAAATTTAACAAAAGCATATTTTACATATTTTTTCAATACTTATGAATATTAGATTAATAAATAATCAAGTAGTACTAAGTTTATAATTAAACAAGAAAATTAATTACAGTATAAAATATTTTTATTGAATTTAATATTCAAATTATATAGAAGAACTAAGATGAAGAATAAATGCTCATATATATATATTTGAACAATTTCGACATTAAAGTAACCATGGTATTTCGTCTATGAAATGTCTCTAGACCATACTAAAAAAATCTCAAGTTTTATTAAAGCTATGCAAGAATAACAGCGAAATTATATTAAAAAAAAATTGTAAAAATAATAATGAAAGATCGTCAGAATGGAATCATTGAGATGTAGGTGGCTAAAAGTCTATTATCGTTACCTTCAAATCCACACCTTTCAACAGTGCATCATTCATTAAATATGATTTCTCTTTTACAAAAATGATTTAGATCATTTTTTTTTTGTTCATGACTATCTACATAGATCTGTCATAAGCAGCAATCTTTTGTTTAATGTTGATGAATAGATAAAATTAATTTCATATGTAAAAGAAAAAAAAAAAATTAACTATTTAATTTTCTTATAAAAATGATGTTGTTTTTTTTTTGTTTTTTAGTTTTATAAATGCTATTGTTCAATGTTTATGTCATACAGAACAATTAGCTTTATATATATTACGAAAAGGTTATGAAATTGATATGCGTAATATAAAAAATGCAATACTCGATTATCAACATTCATCAACATCTCAACCACATGGTTTTAAAGTAACAAAATCTTTTGTACAAATATTTCAAGCATTATGGAATAATTCATCAAATACAACATCAAAATTATCCTATGATTTTAAAACAACTATTGGTAATCTTAATCGACAATATTCTGGTAATGATCAAAATGATGCTCAAGAATTTTTATTATATCTTATTAATACAATTCATGATGAATTAAATTTAGTTGCTAATGCAAGAGTACGGCAACAAGCTAAAGTATGTTTATTGAAATAAAAGAAATTTTATTTGTATTTATTTCTTATTGTTAGAATTCATTTTCATCTATGACAATATCTTCTCAATCATCATCATCACTTGCATCAGTTGAATTAGCACGACGTGCATGGTCAGATTATACAGATGCAAATCAAAGTATAATAACATTAACATTTAGTGCTCAACTACATTCAACATTACGTTGTAATCAATGTAAACAAGAAAGTAAAACATTTGAACCATATTTATTATTATCATTACCAATACCACAAAAAATAATTAAACCTGTTTTTATAACTGTTGTCTTTCTGAATCAATCACCAAAACAATTACAAATTGGTTTATGTTTACCAGTTACAAATACCGTTAAAGATGTTCGAGAAGCTATTGCTCAACAATCAAATCTTGATCCGAATGATGTAAAAAAGCATTTTTTTCTTGTTTTATATATATATATATATATATA